AATATACACTGCCTTGAGAGGTTCTGGTTAAAACTATGCGCAAGAGGTGACTCCAATAGTACTATTTGCTGAGGGGCGCAGCCCCGAAGCAAATGATACTCTTGGAGTCACCGAGGCCCATAGTTTAACCTGTACCTCGAATAGAAGGCATGGTATATTTGTTTTATATCCTGCATCAAAAATTTATTTAAAAAAACAAACAAAAAAAACAATTTTGGAGAAAAAAAAATTTAGAACAAAAAAAATGTAAATTTTTATTTAAAAATATTTTGTTTCATTAAATTAAGATTTGAAGAAAAAAATTGATTCAATTTTAAAAAAAATTCACTTTTTTTTTCCAACTCCCAAATAGTAAATCCAAATAGTATTCTCATATATTACTTTCTAAAAATAGGTCAAATATTTCTGGTCATGTGACGAACTCTCAACCAATCAAATGCCAACAAATTTTTGATGCAGGATATAATACTCCTTAATATACTACTGCTGCTACTACTATTACTACCTTTATTACTACCACTATTAAAACAAGATTATCATCCGCCTACCTTTGATAAACATAAAAAGTGCTTCGTAATAAGCGTGTCGTATTACTTATTCTGCTTTTAGTACCGCTGTCATGTGACTTCGAAGAGAGTTTCATCTGCGGCTTCGTTCAAGATCAAGATGATGATGTCGACTGGATGAGAGGGAAGGGTGACGTCGTACATGATGATAAAAGACCTCCTCATGACCACACCTTCAATGATATACACGGTAAATCCGCTGCGAGACTAATGTCATTTGACAAGACATTAATCGTGTTAATCAATTGTTCAAACAGTTTTTGAGCGTCAAGACAACGCCTGGCTGGAATGCTCCCCAGGGAGTGGAAATTGTGCACACAGTGTGTGCGGGCATGTATAGAATCCAATGACCAGGGTAATAGTATACCTGTAAAGCGCTTAGAGACATCGTTCAGGTATTAAGCGCTATATAAAAGTTCCCTAAGTGTGTTATTCTAATTAGACTTCGCCTCATATACTCCACACCCCTGGAACTTGATCCCTTGTTACGCTCTCCCATTGCCGGAGATCGTAAACTGGAGGACCGTTCAAGATGTTTCTGTCCGTCTCCGAGTGGCTGCGTAGTCATTATGGTTGCCCTCGCAATGAGCCTGCATCGTTTTCTTTCCTACAGGAATTAGAGATGGATAGGTGTGAAATCTATAATAAGGTATTTAGCTATGAAAAATAATAAAAATCAACTCTACTACCACCATAACTTTGAGAATTTATACCAATAAAGACAAACGCTATTATTTATGTAAAGATCTGCTAAAATTAACAAGAATTTCCGTCTCATTCTCATGAGCTATGGTTGATTGATATAGATGTGATCACCATCAGCCTTTACAACTAGAAAACGGACGGTAAAATTGTGTAGTTGGTATCTAGTTAACATAATGCTTTTAATTTAAAAGGTGTAATATTTTGACTAATACAATTATACGTAAAAGCGTGTAAGAGAACAGATGCTCTTAGATAAGGTACTTGGGCTCTATAGAGGCCATTTACAGTCGGTGAAAAAAGTATTCTATGTTTAGACCTCATGATTTTTTTTCGTTGCCAGGATCTTACATGTACATGAACCCAAAAGACACCTTGGATGGATCCACAGCTCTGCTATGGACCCCACCCTATGCTTTTCCCGGGGAGCATTGCCTCACCTTTTATTACTTCATGCACGGCAGCGAGATAGGAAGTCTTCATGTATATGCCATCCAGTCAGGGGGAGTCGTTGATGGTAGCACCCCCGTATGGACGCGTGTTGGTCCGCAGGGCTACGAGTGGAAGAAGGCGGTAACTCCAATTGTGGCTGACTCCAATTTCCAGGTACAGCAGCTTACTATTTTGTTGTAATGAGATTTGTTTTAAAAAGAAACGTAGGGAGATGTGAGTTGACGCACGTTTAATTGGCCAGCTCTGTCTTCGCCTACAAACTGACTCAGACGACCCCGGTTCGAAACCCAGTCACGTCTTTCGGATGACGACGATAAAGGTCGATTCCCAGACGTAAATAATCATATCTGATTGATGCAGGTTTGAAGAAAAAAAATAACACACACACAATCACCCGCTCTCTTTCAAAAGGGCCGAACGAAAGAATTCATTTAATGATGGAGGTGTTCTGCACAGCATCTTGTACAACCATTATGACGCTAAACCCTTGTTCAGGTATGGCGCGGTTAACCGCCGAAAAAAAGACGGCCGCGGCGTTTTACTTATGCATGAATGGCAACTGCGTGCAAAAAAGGAATTGAACGTATTCATTGAGGTCTGTGTTATAAAAGGATATAGAGATGTGAAACGTATTTACAATTTACGGCATCATAAATTACCGCCGCGGTTTTGCCGCGTTATAACTGACCAAGCCTTAAGTTGTGTAGTGTACTAGTGTTTGATGGCTTTTTTGTTCGTCTTATCCTTATGGAGGGGACAGGAGAAACGTGAACGGTGTTATCACTGTATCAATGGTAAATTAATGTGTTATGCAATGCCCTTTCATATATGACCAGCCAAAGAATGTACCAGTTCCACAATACCTTCATTGGATTTGAATTGAAATTGAAATGGTTTATTCCACGCGGGCAAATGCCGACTGGCGAAATCTCTTTACAGATTAAATATATATACAAAATATACAATACGAACAATCATAAAGGTTAGGTACACAAATGACAGTAGAGGTAGATAGTAATAAAATAATAGGTCTTTAACTAGACATCGGGGAAGTTTAGTAAAATAATATTACTAATTGAAGTAAAAAGAAAATAAAGGTGTAGGCTTGAAATAACTGTCTGCACTTTCTAATAACAAATCATAATTGTACAAGGTACACAATATACCGATAGAGGAAAATACAGGACGGTAAAGTGTTCTACTTCTTGAACTGTCATGATAACCAATTCCTTTTCTTTTGGCTATCAAAGTAAAAAGAAATAAAGGATTTTTTTAAAAACTTGTAATTATTATATATTTTAGATTGTCTTTGAAGCCATCAGTGGAGGAACTGATTACTCTAACATCGCTATTGATGACGTCACCGTTTATGAAGGACCTTGTGAAGTCTCAAGACAAGGTAGGCCTACGTAACCCCCCCCCCCCCCCCCCAAAAAAAAAAAAAAAAAAAAAAAAAAATGAAATCTATAGGAAGCGATGAAAACTTTCATTACTTGATTGTACCGTTTGTCGATTTGTAGACATTTTTTCTCACTCTCTTTCCCTATTTCACTCTCTCCCTTTCTCTCTCAATCTCTCTCTGTATCTCTATTTATCTCTCTCCCTCTATCTCATTTTATCTTACTTTCTATCTCTCCCATCCCCCTCTACGTCTCTTTCTCTCTTCCCCCTTTCTCTCTCAATATCTCTCTCTATCTCCCCATCTCTCTCTCTCTCTCTCTCTCTATATATATCTCTCTCATCCAGATAACGTGATCACTGATGATATAGGATGTAAGAAGGTGCTTGGTTCACGGCTCGGAGTAGAAGATGGATCGATACCTGATTCAGCTTTCACTGCATCATCGTTCAATGGCGTTGGATTCGAACCCTATCGGGCGAGACTTAACAGCTACGCCCCCTACGCTGGTTGGATGCCAACTGGCGGTGAATCAATTAGCTGGTTTCAGGTATGTGCCTAAAACTTAAAGCCCAACTGCACTTCGTATAGCTACTGGCGCCCTATATACAGCCAACAACCTGTAAGTGACGAGACAGCATGGACAGGGAGGTCTATTCCCTCCATGCCAAACTAGTGCAGAGGGGCTTTAAAGGTCATCACAAGATCATTTCTAATTTGGGGTTATGGATAGGAAGACTCTCCGGCCTGAATTGACGAATGAAAGGATGACAGAAAAGACAAAATGTGATGTAGAAGAAATTATGTGTCCGACCATATCAGATCATACAGTTGATTTACAATGCAGGGCCTTCATCATGAACCTCTCTCCCAGAGATCTCACATAAAAATCCTTGGGATCTTTTCTGTTTGCTTGGCGATGAACTGACTAATTTGTTAATAATTTAACCCTTTCATTACAACTACTCCGATGTTGTGGTTTGGCTCAATAAAACTTGATTGAACCCCCTAGAAAATTTAAAGATCCATTCTTTTTTTATTACTTTATTGTATTTGATGCCAGGAATTTTGAAAGGAAAGGAAGCTTTAAAATCCTTAAATGTGCAAAACATTGACAGATTTAAAATCATTGTCTTTTGATCAAAATCGGTCTTTGTTTTCGATTTTGTTCACCAATATCTATAATGTTCTCTGAAACTTAAAAAAAATAAAATTAAATAGCAATACAAGAAAATAACATTTTGAAATATATAGGCCTAGTAGCAACATAGAGAAATGCACCCTAAGAGGATTATTTTTGTCTCAACGTATTTGAGATTCAGTGGCATTTCTATTTTTGATTTTAGGTTGATTTTGGTCTGCGACGATGGGTAACTGGCGCCCTCACCCAGGGTCTACAACATTCTTCAGAATGGACTACCTTGATAAGGTTCTCGTATCTTGAGGATAACAACGAAAGATCCTATATCTCTCAAAATGAATGTGGTATCTCCGGAGGCAAGGTATGAAACTAGGCCCAAAATAAATGAAAGGGGCCGTATAGAGAAAGAGAGGGACTGAGAGAGAGAGAGAGAGAGAGAGGAAGAGAGAGAGAAAGAGAGGTACTGAGATAGAGAGAGATTAGAAGAACACTCTTCAGAATGGACTACCTTGATAAGGTTCTCGTATCTTGAGGATAACAATGGAAGATCCTATATCTCTTAGAACGAATGTGGTATCTCCGGAGGCAAGGTATGAAACTAGGCCCAAGATCGATAAATGAAGGGGGCCGTAGATAGAAAGAAAGGGATTGAGAAAGAGAGAGAGAGAGAGAGAGAAAAAGAGAGGTACTGAGATAGAGAGAGATTAGAAGAAAATCTTTAGAATAGACTACCTTGATAAGGTTCTCGTATCTGGAGGATAACAACGAAAGATCTTATATCTCTCAGAACGAATGTGGTATCTCCGGAGGCAAGGTACGAAACTAGGCCCAAAATAAATTAAAGGAGCCGTAGAGAGAAAGAGAGGGATTGAGAAAGAGAGAGAGAGAGAGAGAGAGGAAGAGAGAGAGAGAGAGAGAGAGGGAGAAAGAATGAGAGAGAATGAGAGGGAAATAAATATACAAAGAGAGTGTGAGGGAGGATATTGGCGGGATGAATATAGTGGCCTAGTATTAATAGGAACATCAGAACAAATTTTGTTTCTAACATAATAGGTTCTATGTGAGTCTATCCCTACAACTAAATAGTATTAAACCCTTCTTTCAAACCCATTGCTTTTACATCATACATGCACCTATCGAAATATTGCCAGATAGTATTATAATAATGAAAAGCTGTTTGTTTCGTACGACAGCACCTTTATTCACCAGTCACCAATCGAAACTAACACATTATATCCCAGACAATATGGCGGGCACATCTATTCCCTTTACTAAAACATGGCGTAACAACAGATGATGATAATAGAAAAAGTAAAGTAATCACATTTTAACTTTCTATTATTTACCTTCCATTGCACAATTTATGAAATATTTATGTAAAATACATCTTCCTTTTTAACCAGGTATTTCGAACGAACTTCGATAGCGATTCAATAGTTACTATTATCTTCCCACAACCAGTCCTCTCTACAAACATTCGAATCCATATCGATGGCATCCATATCAAGACCACCCTCAGATGTGAAATTCTAGGTGAGGTTTATTTGAAATTTTAGATTTTAAGGTAGCCTATAAATATTCATGAATTGCCACGACGTCATCAATATGCATATTCATGACCTCCTTGTAGATGTGCCTAATTAGAGGCAACTTAGATTTAATGGCCAGATTCATCTAAAGGAAATTATCTTACAATTTTATTAAAACATGAATGTAGGACCATATACAATGCATGTTAGTATAAATAAGGATTACTTGACATCGCCAACTAAACATTGCATCCAAAAACGTCTTTGTGGGGCCATTTTTACCATCTAAGGAGGTTGGATAGGCCTCATGAAGAGTTAAAAAAATAATAGTTACATTTTACCTGTTGTAATAATAAAAAAATAAAAACAACCAACCGATAAAAATACAAATAGTCAGCGAAATAGTATTTGCGTATTAATTAAATTTTAGAATAAATGGCAACATTTCCTTTCAATGGATACTTTGACGATTTAATATACGGGATTGACATACATACGTCAACCAGATTGATCTACATTTGCCACACTCCACCCAGGTGAAGTAAATGGGTACCTGGTAGGAATTTCTTCCTTGAAATGCTAGAGCGCCGTATGGCAGCCGTGCTAAAGCCAGGAGGGTCAAATCTGACTGACATGAGCGCTATACAAGAACCCACTATTATTATTATTATTATTATTATTTATCACAGCGTTTCGCCTTCTATTTGGTCGAATACTCTCATGTGCACTCTAACATTTCTTGAGCTTCTTTCATCTTTATGTTACATGTTGAAGGGATGCAGGATATTGATTGCGATGATCTTTACGCAAGTGGATACCGTGAGGGCGGTGTTTACACTCTCAAACCAGCTGACGGCAATCAGTCGTTGGTGGCGTACTGCGATATGGACTCGGACGAAGGAGGGTGGACTGTAAGTTTGAATTTTTAGGAAAAAGGTGTTTGAATATCTTTGTTGTAAAAGGGAAATCAAAGAGGGCCAACTAACGTGCTGCTCTGCCTGTGTACTTTATTGATTAACCTGAACCATTTAATAACCTTTTTTTCAGAAAGATTAAGTGGGTAACGATCGAAATGAGAGAAGTTACGATGCAAACCCTTGAATTGGAACGTCATCAGTCATCGAAAATAGTTGTTAACTTCGTGTTGTCTTACCGTTGTGAGGCAATGACGTCATTTTTAAACATCTCTCTTTAATCAAAGAAAATAGTGACATTTTTGTAGTATTAGTGATAGTATAAAAATCAGTTGTATTATCGTTGTTGTAGTTCTTGTAATAATTTCCCTTTCTGTCATGAATACCAGGGGGGGGGGGGGTGTTTCACAAAGACCCTAAGTTGAACTTATCTCTAAGTGGGACTTAACAAGTATGGAATGCCGTTTAATAACATCTTTGACAATATTTTGTAAAAGTTATTTTAAAAGGCATAAAATGTTGATTCAAAACATATTTTTCTATTATTAAGGATATTTCATGTTCTTAATGTTGAATCTATGAAAAGTCTAAAATACTTGAATCTTTGCTTTTGAATATATTTTATTTAAGGCTACAAATGGCTCTCATAAGTCCAATTTAGAGTTAAGTTTGACTTTGAATATTTGTGAAACACTCCCCAGGTGTTTCAGCGTAGACTTAATGGTTCGACAAACTTCTCCAAGACCTGGACCGACTACGAGAATGGATTCGGAGACCTCAGCGGCGAACACTGGCTAGGCCTCCGGAAGCTGTACAGAATCGTAGGTCAAAGGTCATACACACTGCGCATTGACCTTGAGTACTCTGACGGGACCAGACAGGTTGCCAATTACACGGGTTTCTCGCTTGGTGATCACTCCACCGGTTACCGGCTTCATATCAGCGGGCTTGAAGGACATACAGGTGAGAATATAGGACAACTATCCCCTAATTAGTTGCCCAGACTTGTTATCTCTCTCGGACAGTTACCACCGTGACACCAACGATTCTCGGTCCGGTACTCATCAACACATGACTTTTTTAATCGCCTTGAAATTCTAATTAATTAGTCACTTACATGACATACTGACAATGTACGAGGGCGCTGTTTTCGGCGATGGTTATTTATTGTTCTCGGCAAATCAATTCAGTTCAATTAAAAATTAAAAATGTACAAGTATACATGCAGATGAATGTGAAAAATATGCCTCACTAATACAGTACAAATCATGAAAAATATTCATTATAATTGGAATTAGGTTGGCCATAAGAATACAAAACAAATTGGGGTTTCGTCGAGCCGACCGAACAAAAGCAAATAATGGATCGCCATCTTTCCTACAATCTATTATTATACATTGCTTTTAGCAATATTACAATCTGTGTGAGTGACTTCATGGTTAAGAATAACAAACTCCAATGAAGAGTGAATGTAAGCTCCAACACCACCACCCCTTGCCACCTGCTCTTTACTTTACCTCAAGGACATAATTATTCAAACCTAAAAATGTCCATTGTAGATTACTTTTAGCAATGTTACAATATATTATACATTGCTTTTAGCATTTTTAAACATATTATACTGCTTTTGACAATATTCAAATCTAATATACATGTACATTGCCTTTAGCTATATTAAAATCTATTATTCATTGTTTGGGCAATATTAAATTCAATTATACATTGTTTATAGCAATATTACCATTAAATATTGATTGAGATCACTGATAATTTAGAACGGACAGTTTTTTGGTATGAATCTAAATAATTGGTTTTGGTTGCTGTGTACATACTAAGATTGACTCTCCACAGCTGATAATACACTGACGACACAGTCTGTTATCAATTCCTTGATACACAAACTATATTTGAACAGACGAGCTTCTATTAGAATGAGGGCAAACTGAATAGAAACATGCCATATGACCATTTTCTCCTGTCCCGCGCATACACATTTGCGAGTAGACGCGATTCCAAATACAAAATGCCAGTCATCAATTATTTACTTAAAGGCCGTCTGTGCTAGTTTGGCTAGGAGGTATTAGGCCATCCAGGGTGGTCACTGGACAGGTGGTTATCTCATTAACTCAGCTCTCAATTAGCATAATAAAAGGAGGATCATAAAGGACCAATGGTCACCGATTAGGGCATTGTTTTCTACGTAGATGGAGCAAGTAGCTACAAATAGTACAGCGGGCCTTTAACTTCCCTAAACTAATAGTGCATACAAAATGTATAATAATGATAATGATAGATCGATTTATATAGCACTGCTATTATATTAACTCTACTGCACTTTATACAAAGTATCATATTATTATCCCGGCTCTAGCTGAGCCAACGTAATTAGGCGCTAAATTATTCAAGGATTTTTGTTCCGATGTAGGGAAACAATTCACTTCACCAGGTTGGAGAGTGGTAAATGTAGGAAATTAGTACTGGGACAGACACTATGAACATGACTGACAAAGAAAGCGGACAAAATATACAGTTCCTCAGGTAGTCAAAGGAACATCCCTTCACTGCTATTATGTAAAAATGTGTAGAACAGGTGTCACATGTATATTCACCTTTTTACATAATAGCAGTGAAGGGATGTTCCTTTATCTACCTGAGGAACTGTATATTTTGTCCGCTTTCTTTGTCCGCTATGTTCATAGTGAGAACTCGAACCGCGTACCACGTGATCCCCCGTCATCAGTCCGTCGACGTATCCACTAGACCACGACGCCCTGCAATGCACAGTGCAATTTTTTTAAATGAATTGGTCATGCGCCTATGGTTTCCACATGACTGATTCGCGTTCTAACGCCTCGTGTGTAGCAGGCATTGTTGATTAATGGCATTCCGTTTATTACTTTTGCATTACAAGACTAAAAAGAAATGTCAAAGATATTTCGATGCTAATTTCTCTTATATCATAACGTTTATTATTGTCTGTCATTGTTTATATTATCTGCAAAGAAATGAAAATAAATTCGCTCTGTATAGAGCGACTACTACTACTACATTCCTTACATGCATCCATCTTTCATCAATCTCTCTCTAAATATTTCCATCGAACAGATGACCCACTGGCCTACCACAACGGGACATCATTCATGACTCCTGAGCAGTTGCCTAGCAACGGGATGCCATCCTGTGACGGACCACGCCCATCTGGCGGTTGGTGGTATCTGGGAGAATGCGACGATCATGTGGATCTGAACGGCGTGTTTCCGGGTACTGCTAGTGATGCTCGCTATGAGATGTTTTGGGAGGTTCCTACTAGCGGGAGCCCCACCCTCACATTCAGTGAGATGAAGATTAAACCGATTTCTTAAACATTTAGATAACGATGATAATTGCCCACACTTCGAAGTTTCGCTCAACAACTGTAATTAAGCGTTCTACACAATGTACCACTTGTAAAGCATTGCGAAAAAGCAAATCTTTCTGCCCACATTATGTCGAATATAATGAGTATACAATTATTGATTATTCTGATTATATATATTTTATCTCGGCTTGGACCCGTTTGTAAAACAGCTTATAAACAGACAAGGGCAAACCATCTCATGAGTGGAGAATATATTTTCAAAAAAAAAATGTTTTGTTCCGATTTTACATTTGATTTGGTTGATTCTTAGCAGAAGAGTCATTGGCCCGAATTCGTACGTCATATGACGCGTTTCGACGCGTTTTTACAAACCAGGTTTGTAAAAAACGCGTAAAAATGCGTCATATGACGTACGAAAACCAAGGTTTGTCGACAAACCTCCTTTGTGAACTCGGGCCAATGTGTCTAATGAAACCTGACACCGTTAGAAATTGACTTTGTAAATATGATGTGATTTGATTAGATGATATAAATTAATATAGAGTATGTATTTAAAACAGATAAGGTAAATTTACACGCACTGCCACAAGACTTTGTGTAGTCATCTTCATGTCTAGAATTACTTGTAAATATTTCACTTCAATATGTATTTAACCGAAAATTCTATGTAAGAATGGAATATTGTAAAATGTTACTTAACCTCGATTGTATGGTGGTATCATTAAAATTCGAAATTGCTTTAAACCCTTGCTTGTGCTATGTGTGTATCTGTGTGACAATGATTAATTACAAGATAATTTTCTTTTCATCGTTGTTAGAAATATGGAAATAGAAAGAGAGATGTTTTTATATAGTTTAGGTAGAGAGTTAATTCTACCACGATTGCCCAACAAAACTTCGACTGGATATGTGAAGTTATGTGTATATTTTTTTTGCTTTTGTCATCATACAACTTCTCTTACATAGAACGGTTAATATCGATTATAATAAAGAATTGATACACATGTGTCACATTGTGACCAATTTCTTGTGAGATGTTGTAAATATGGAATAAAACTTTCACGTGCTCGTCATTCCAACAGTTATTGTGCATTTTATTTTGTTTCCTATTTATAAAACAATTGTGATGGGGATTTTCCGCAAAGGTTTTGAAGAAGAGTGATTATTCCTTAAAAAACCTTACAGGAAAATCTCTATCCCAAATTTGTAAACAGAAAAACCACACTCTCTAGCAAGTAGTCAAAGAACGTGTGAAGATAAATAAATAATAAATAATAATAACAACATTTATAATGCGCACATATCCACTCCAAGGGATGCTCAAGGCGCCTAACAAGGTAGATACATTACACATAAGAAAGTACATGAGAACTTACAGAGAACGAAAATAATTTAACATAATTAAATATAATTAAACAACATTAAATTACATCAGATTGTGAAATACACTACGTCTTAACTAAGGAATTAAGACATTAGATAGGTTTCAAGTTTTTTCGGAACAAATTTTGATTGGCTGACATTTTGATTGAGTTGGGTAGGGAGTTCCATAACCGGGGTGCAGCAGCTATAAAAGCTCTGTCTCCCCAACTCCTCATTGTTCTTAATTGTATTGCATTTGTTGAATTGGAGGAACGAAGAACTGCACGAGAACTTGAAGAGATATTAAAAAGAGAGGAAATATATGACAGTATCATTTTGAAGCCCTGATATACATCAGTGTAAACAATGAAATATTGATAAAGTAGTGTTTGATATCTATTTCCCAATGCTTATCTCACGCAGCTGTCATCTTAATACCAATAATGCAAACAGTGACGAATTACAAAGGCGTATACAGCATGTACTACTGGAGAAATGATAACCGTATTGGTGTTAACAAAGGATTTATACAGTGGCGTCATCTTTAACTGCTAAATAGAAAACGCAGTTTGGGTTTATTAGAATAAGAACGACAAAGTATTTACATGATTATATCAAGTTTGTTAATAGTCGATTGTTGATGAGAGAAACGTTTAGGACGTAGATTGACGACAAGAAGGAGAGAGAGAGAGAAAGAGAGAGAGAGAGAGAGAGAGAAACAAAGAGAGTTTGTGATAGAGAGAAAGAAAGAGAGATAAAGAGTGAGAGAGAGAAAAAAAAACTAAGAGTAAGAGAGAGAGATGCTAGAGCGAGAGAGTGAATGAGTGAGGGATAACGTGTGTACGACAGGGAGAGAAAGAGGGAGAGAGAGAGAGAGAGAGAGAGAGAAAGAGAGTGTGTGATAGAGAGAAAGAAAGAGAGATAAAGGGTGAGAGAGAGAGAGAGAGAGAAAGAGTTGGAGAGAGAGCGAGGAAAAAAAAGAGTCGGGGAGAGAATGAGGGGAAAAGAGTGACGGAGAGATATATAGAGAGAGAGAGAAGGATGGGGGGGGGGGGGGGGGGGTAGGACGGCTGAGAGATGAAGAGACGGAAAGAGAGGGGGGGGGGGGGGTAACGAAAAAATGGAATTAATGAGAGAAGAGAAGAGATATATTAGAGGATGCATATACAGTGAAATGTC